GTCAAGCAGGTATAATGTATGTTCCTAGAATAGTAAAACCTTCAACAATATTATTCTAGCCGTCTTTATCGGCACAATCAATGAATTTTATGAGGTACATAGGCCTTTCCAAAGTTTCAAGTTTGTCCTTTGATAAGGATTAATTAACAAATATCACCAGCCTTTGCGAATGTGATCCTAAACAACTGCATGCTTCTCTGTTTACTGCAAAAAGTAGAATAAAATCTTAAAAATGTTACCTATTAATTCACAATAGTTTAACGATAATTATGGATAAATTTTTAGCGTGTCGTAAATAAAACGTCGGGTGAATGATGTGTTTTTCTCTGTCTTCATTAAAAATGAAAGTCTCCGTCGTCACACACACGTACACACATATATATAAACACGCACACACGCGCATTATTGCTATCAGCCATTTTCTAATTATTTACAAGTTTATTCAAAATAATTTAAGTTCTGTTTCAGACTTTATTTTATTTGACCTCTTGTTCTAATTTTGATTATTAGAATTATAGTTAACAACGTCTCGGCCGAGTACTCTCTGGTCACCATCAGCTGTTCATTCTTTTTGGCAAATAACACAATAATCAAGAGATACCTTGATTATTGTGTTATTTTGTCTCTGTGGTGCCAGTCCTTGTTCATTTCTGCTGAACCAGTGTTTATTGGGCACATGACAACCCAATGACAATAACACAATTTTAATCAACTTCTGTATCTACTACAACACCGTCCCGAAGGAGGCTTACCATCATTATAAATTCAGTGGCCAAAATGTTTTTTTGTTTTTGTTTGTTTGTTTTACGGCAATATTACTAATGCTCTTTACCACAAAATCAGTTTGAGGAAAATAATTATTGTACAAAACAACAATGTTTTATTATATAATCAAACATTCTATTGTATTTAATTTGTCACATAAAAACGACCTTTACTTGATGTGATCTTTTATGTGATTTTTTGCGCATTTTCTGTCATAAAAAAGAATAAGATATTAAAATTGTTAGACTCTCTACTACACTCCCATATGTGAAATATTGAGTAGGATAGAATTTCTACTCTTTTTTTTAAAAGTAATAGTGGAACTGGGAAGTTTATAGTAAAGTAAAGGCGTTGTGCACAATATAGTCTGAAGTAAGTAGTTTAGGCGGATGTGCTGTTAGCGTAACGGTTATCGGTACCGGAAGGGGAATCAGCGAGCTAGTCAAATTGCGATCACTTTTGTCCCAATGCCCTTGCGAAAGGTACACCTCCCCCATGCCATTGCTGAAATAGCAGTGTAGACTGGGGTTTCTAGCCTTGTGTAGTACCTAGTCGAAGACAAAAGAATCCTCTGAATTCAAAACTGAGAAGCAAGCAACTGGAAACTACTCTTTCTGGAAGTAATAGCAATTCGCAAATAATAAAGAAAAGGAATTTGTGGAGGTCCATGACTGTCTATGTCCTAAAGGACCATTGCATTAAAAATGTACTTCCCATAAGTGTATAAGTAGGAAGAAAGGCAGTAGTAATCAAGAACATAGAAGATAGGATTTGATTAAGATAAAACTGTGTTAAAAACTAATACTGCTGTTTTAACCTTAGAAATCAAAATCTGAATATTTCGATTTAATCATTCTATTATGTCTCAACTGTGGTTTTGTCTATCGACTTCATAAACAAAGACAACCTTACATATTGTAAGGAAGAGAACGGGACAACTATTACGAGTATTAAAATCCTTCGGTTGGAAATGGTGATCAAATTAGAACAATGTAGATTTATAAAGACCTCAAAGAAATGTCGTCTTTAAACTAAGATAACTTGTTTTACTTTTAATAATTTTGCTTTTATAAAAGTCATGTATTGTAAATATTAAACTCACGATGTAAAATTCATTGAAAATAAAATATTGCGTCATTCAAAAGGATATTTCCTAAGATCATGTATATGACTTTCTCAACAGAATTATTCGAAAAACGACGATTTGAATTTTTTTAATGAAAAACGATAAGGACGAAAGCTGACAGAAAATGTTTGTTGTAGCTTTTATTTATTTATTTTAACTATCACCCTTGGTATTTGTTGGCATTTTAAGAAATATTGCTTAATGGAATTTTAGGGATTAACTTTCTTTTTGTCTGAAGAAAGAAATTCCTGATGAAATTCAAAGCTCATATGGATTTTTAATGAAAAGAGTATGTAATAGGTTTCAATGAGTTTTAATAAGTTTTCTTTAAAAAGGGGAAAAAATATTTTGAGGTTGAAATTTGTAGAGAAACTGGCGCAAATTTTCTTTATTATATTCTTCGTTATTTCAAAATTTCTGTTTGTATTTATGTCGCTTCTAATTTGCAATGAACGGATAAATATTGATTTTTTTATCTTTGATTTGTTTTTGTAGATGTCTTTTGGAAAGTTTAATTTCAATGAAGATGAACAATAACATTTTCAAAGTTACAGACAGTCATTTTTAACATCTCACTTGAGTGATTCCACTGATAATTGGTGGGAATAGATATGCGTAGTGTCTACTAATGTTACCAGTGATAAAACACTGAAAACATTGTGATCACAACTTCTTTTAATTCCTTTGAATATACTGATATTAACACACGCATACACACACACATACGCACGCATACACGCACACAATTCTATATATAAACATAAAATGTAATCTATATAGCGACTATACTGATTTAGATTTTAAATGGAACCAATCTTTTGAAGTGCGCCATAACTGATTAAACTGGCATTGTCATTTTTAACGGCGAACAAAGCAGTTGATGAATATTTTGTTATATGCCTGTACTTGTGCATGTGCGCGTGTATATTTATAAACACACATTGCACACACACACACACACACATATATATATATATATATATATATATATATATATATATATATATATATATATTGCCAAACTTTATTTTCTCTGGTTTTCATTTTCAGATTTAAAATTTGCTTGCACCTCACCAAATTTTATGTGATAAAAAGTACAGTTAAAAATTTTTTAAAATATGAGAGAGGGAGATAACCACGGATTTGAAGTCAGAACATTATCATTGATAACTCTATCCTCCAATTTGTGGATCCTAGTTACTATATTCTTAATACTTGATATAATGCAAAAATATCATAATGATAAAATCATTCCATATTTATAAATATTATACTGGAATTAATGAATGCAATTACAAGTAATCCATAATATTATTTTAAATTTTGAAATCATATTCATTTTTGGAATATGAATTTTTAAAAAGTGTTCCTAGATCTTTGATTGTCTTTCAATCATTCTGTCTCACCTGCTCTCCTCTTGTGCCACACCTATGAGGCACGCCGCACTGTTTGGGGACCACTGTTCTAAGTAGATGAAATTATTCTTGAAAATTAGGATATTTCACTGATAAGCACGCATTACTTATTTGTAACGCATCACAAACATTATAAAAGTTCCGCGATTAATATTATTTGTATAAAACTGAGTTTATATATCAAATAATATATATATATATATATATATATATATATATATATAAACTATATATATTAAATATCCTATAATAAACTATAATAATATTATAATATTAATATTTTAATATATTATAATAATTATATTATATTATAAAGTATAATATACTCTATATTAAAGGTAAAATTTTCTGGATGCAATGAAATGATTTTTCCGATAGACACGAGGCGTAACTTCAGGTCGACTGGTTGAAACATTAGGTAGATGTAATTAAATCCTAAGTATGAAAAAATTTAATAGAGATTCAAAGAAATCTACATTAAATCAATTCAGTAAATGTTTCTTTTTATGCATATTCTACCTGCGTCTCAATTCTTCACTTAAAAGAAATGTTAATTTTAAAAGAACTATCATTAAAACATGTAAAGATTACTTGCTGAAGACTTATGGTTAATGTGATTGTCTGGTTCGTTCCAAACAAGGTATTTCATAAAGTTTTACATTGTGTTTAATTAACATTTATTCTGATAAATAACTTGAATAATTCTGCTTAAATAAACGCATATAAAATGCTTATATTTAATTCTACTCAAAAGAATCTTAATTTCCATCAAATTTGATAAAGTGATAGCTTGGACAATTTGGCTGTATTCAAACAGTCGATACTAAATATTCTATCGTTAAACACATATGTCGGTTCTTGGGAATGAAGCAACGTAATCGATTTAAAAAAAATAATTTTAAAATATGTGAAAAGATTGACTGACTTCATTAAATCAAGATTGCATAAAATTTATTTCTGACGATGAAACTCAGAATTATCTTAATTGATCACTTATGAAGAAACCTGATAATCCAGGTGGATTATTGGTTAATCGCTTTAAAAATGGAATTGGTAACTCGAGTTCAAATTCTGACTGAGACAATTTTTGTTCCCTTCGCACTAATATTATTAAGAAAGGCATGAATCCATTAATTCCGGCTTCAGCTTTACGTTAACTATCAAGGCAAGCTGTGTTGAAAGTCAATCTAGAATGACAGCTCTGAAATTGAAACCAGCTCAACACGAAATCACTCTTTCTTAAGAATAATTATGACGATGGGTTGTTTTACTGATTAGGAAGTTGTGGAGAACTATGATCGTTTACATCTTGAAATGACATGGTACTTAAGGAGGTTTATAAAACATGCAAGTGTTTTAATCTGTCTAATTCAAAATATAGACATAAACACAGACATGAATTATGTAAACAACGCTTCACTAAATGGGTTACGACAGAAGAACTAGCGGCAAACAATAATTTAACGAAGTTCGTTTGGCTCACCGCGAAGAGTATCCGCTAGGAATGATTTAACAAACTCGCACAACAACACTGACCCACATTACTATGGTGGTTACTGGAGGGCAAAGTAGATTTCATTTCTCTTGTGGTTTCTCACCATTCCATATGTACTATCCCTCTACTTTCCACCATCTGCCAGTCTCTGTTTTATAACACTAGCAGACGCGAGGGCGGTGTCACTTTTTTTTTCCAGGGGAGGTGGAATTGGTGAAATAATCTCTTTCCCCTTAATCTATTGCTTTCTCTCTCGCGCGCTCTATCTATCTATCTATCTATCTATCTATCTATCTATCTATCTATCTATCTATCTATCTATCTATCTATCTATATCCGTCTGTTCATGTATGTATGCCTGTACGTATAAACGACATTCATATATTTTCTTTTGTAAGAAACAGATAGCCCACTGGATGTTTTCTTTCGACCATGTGATTTTAGACTTTCTCGATTTTTTTATCGAGACGCTAAACATTGGCGCTATAAGACCATAAAGAGCTTTACCAAATAACAAGAACAAAAGTAATTGAACACTCCCAATAGCAGTAACGACAAAAAATGGGTAAAACATTTGACTAGAAGAGAAAATAATGATATAAACATGCTGTTGAGTTTACAGACTACCAAAAACGTAACATTTGGAAGGGAACTACAATAAGTATTAAAATTCCTATAATAATTAGTATTTATGTCTACTTTTCTGAAAATCTCTTTTAAGAGAAAGGCCGAAAATAACACAATTTGGTCAATGAATGTTGAATGTTTCCTATATGAAAATATTGTTAAACATCAGTTGATTTTTGTAATGAAATTTACTTTTTGCTCCATAGATTCACTATATTATCCTGACCTCTTTTTATCTTAGGTTGTGATACGGGGTTTGGCAATGCTCTGGCCCGAAAACTTGATAAAATCGGCTTCACAGTATTTGCATGTTGCCTATATGCAGATGGAGAAGGTGCACAGCGAATTATTGACAACACAAGCGACAGATGTCGAGTGATCCAGATGGATGTCACTGATGATATTCAAGTGCGAAACGCTGTCTCAGAAGTCAAAGAGGCACTTGAAGACAAAGGTGAGTTAGTTATATTCAATAATTATTGACAAATAAAGTTTCTATAGCAACAAATACTCTAAAAAATTCACGATTCAGATATAATACAAAGTAATCACACTCAAATAGAACGTAAATTTCTCTTCAACACCAATATAATAAAGAAGAAACTGCTTTAAAGAGACGTGTAAAATAAAAACAAGAATAAAAAGTTTTAAGCTTTCATAGGCCGTGTAGGCGTAGTCTCTGTTTGAAGAAGCGACCTGGCATCTATGGCCCAGGATATGAGCGTAGACTAAAGACGGTACTGAATTCCAGAAACCTGGAAAATTAGTTCAGGGCTCCAATTTCTTCAAATAAGTTGTTTCATGAAACGCTTCTCCGTTTTTCAAATTTGGTGATGAATTAGATTATGTAATTATCAAGAGGCAAGAACAACGTCATTTCCTGTGGTAAATTAGCTGAATAATTCTCAAAGATATCTTCTACTGGAATGCTTTTAATTTTTATTGTTTTTGTAAGATAAATCAAATGACGTAAGCAATGATCATTTCCAAAATAGGATTTTATGAGTGATTCGTAGCACGATTCAGATACTGAATAAACATTAAAAAATTAATTCTAAATCTCAATAGAACTAATTTAATTCCTAGAAATTTCAGACGGAGAACTTCTGTGGGTAATGGTTAACAAGCTCATCTCTCTAGATCAATTACAACTGAATAGTGAGTTCGATCCTTATTGAGTGCCCCATACTTTCGGTTTTGTGCCACATCTAAGCTAAGCTTAGATAATCACCATAGAAATTTCAGAGGTATCTGTGTCCGTTAAATATGGTTAATAATAACCACGATAAATGTAAGCTAAGCCAAATGCTTGCAACTACATGAGACTTAGGTTCGAATATCTCTATAGTCGATTTGTAAAGGTGGTGATTTATTAATAATATCGGCCTGAGGGGGGGCAGTGTAGAAACTGCTTGAAAAACAGTATAATATTACGTCTTAAAAATATATATAATGTTAGCCTTTTACATGAAACTATCCGGAAGCTGTTGTTGATTGTACTAGCACGAAATCAGAAGTCATCGTGCCCGAGGTTTCGAGCATATTGGCCTTGTTCAACTACTGATCCAGTCAGATTATATGCTCTCCCCCATAAGCCGTAACTAAAGTCTGCTCAGCATAATTGTCTGCAACAGGGATTAGCTAATCATTCGAACAGATGGATATACTCAGAAACAAACGGCCAGCCATTTCTTAATAAATGCAAATCGTACAAGAGTTATTTCCCTTAGCTGCTGAGAATTCGGTATATTTTCAACGCGAATGAATCTGTATATGTAATTAATCTATTGAAATTCCTTAGAATTAATGGGTCACTGAACAGAAACGTTTATTTTTAGAATATAATTTATTAATATTGAAATTTCAACCCCTATATTAGAAAACTAAAATGCTTCAGTATAATGTTTAAATTGGTATTAGTGTCGATGAATACCTTTTATTATAACTAATCAGTAACAAAAAGTTATATGACACAAATACATCCATCAAAACAGCTGAAGAATTAATAATTAATTTATAAAATTAATGTTCAATATAAAAGAAAAGAAAATTAGGGATTCAAAAAAGAAATTCTTTGACAGTTTTTCTTTTTTGTATCTTAATTTGAGTTTGAAATGTTTATTTATTAATTGTGACTTAATCCAGTATAAGGACACATTTGCGTAATGCTAACCTGTTAAGATCATTCCTACTAACGCTGTTCCTGAGACATTGGTGGTCGTGTTGGGCTTTCAAAAGGAGCCCTGACTAACATTTCTGGATAAGAGCCCTGTTTGGGGACTGAAATGATTTGTTACTGGCATCAAGTTAGGATATAGAATATAACTTTGAAAAGCGGAAAGACAGATTTTCTTCATATAGAAATTGTTTCTACTCCAGCATTCAGATCCCAAGCAAATGGTTATGCACGGTTTAAATCAGCAATATCTAAGGGATAAGTTTTGACAGTATAGATTACTTTCTATTTCCTCGAGAAATGTATGAATCCTCTCCCCACCCCACAGTCATATATAAACAGGAGGACAGACAGGGCCATTTGGCCTTGATTAGCAACCAGTCTAGGAGAAAGAAAACTCAGAATTCAAACCAGTCTGGAGAGGGTTGCGCATGGTCAGGCTATCTTGCCCAAGACACACCACTGCTGCTACGGCTGCAGTATATGTGATACTCCTACGACTCTCAGGGGTTACAGGACACATCGTCATCGTCATCATAATAACTGTCCGTTTTCTTTCGGCACTAATAACTGACCGAGTTCTGACATGTTTCAAATTTCAAGACTGCTTCACTGATCGCGCATTGAAGCTACTATAAATATCTGTAATTATTCTACTTGTAAAATCTATATTTATTAATATCCGTTGGGGTATAAGTGGACATACTAATATAATACCCATCAATTTTAATTTATGCTCCACAATTATGGCCTTGAACTAGGATTAAAAGGATTACTTGGTGGTTGTGGTGTTGATAGAGTTACTGTGGTTGATGTGATGATTTTTCAAGACAGGTAAATTGTTTATGGGATGTAGCAATAGATAATGTATTTTTAAAAGAAAATAATATTATGAGCGTGTAGTAGTAGGCGTTGTTTATATATCAAGATAAAGGTAACACCTGTTCGGTCAAAATTAAGTACTTAAGTAGTGAAACTGCTGTGACTTTTCCAGGGAGAAGGCCTAAGCGATGTTATAGTGATTTTCCAAGCATAGCTTGAATGTGGCACAAGGCCGAAAGTAAAGGGCACTCAGTGAGGATCGAACTCACTACTCATTCGTAATTATTCTAGTGAGACAAGCTTGCTAACCATTATACCATTCGAGGTGCCTGTGGCCTAAGCGATGGTATGTGGAGGCCTTGCGCTGCCCAAACTGACAAGATCCAAAGGAATACAGGGCATTACATTTGGGGACGGCTTGTCAGCAGGGGTTGTCAGAAAGTTTTCCTTTCCCTAAATGCACTGCCTTATTTGGCTGTCGAGCTCCAGCTAATCAAAGCAGCTGGTTATGAAGTGCCAGTTCCCTGCCTTCACCCATTCTCCGGTTTAGAGCTGAACATAGTTGTCAGAGTCTATTCGAGACGATGATTTCAGTCATTTATAGGCAGTGGGATCTTGTCCCTACTATTACCGCCCTCTATGACAACCTTTGGAACACATATACTGTACGTATATATACATTATATACATTACGTGTTTTAGAAGCTCGAAAAAATTAACATTTTTTAAAAATATATAAAACGTTAGATAAACACTATAAAGCAAGACAAATCACGAAATGGTACATAATTAAACGAACACAAAAATTTGGAAAAGTTTGTTAATTTTAGAAAAAATAGAAAAAACAAAAAATTAAAATATAAATTTGGATTTAAGCCTGAAATACTCGAAAATTATGAACATAATATAAAATAATTTATACTGTCTTTTGATAGTACTAATCACGTAAACTATCAATTGATAAAAAATGAACCCGTGTAGAAAATACAAAGTTGACAAATTTAACTTTAGGTCAGCAAAAACAGAAAGCAAAATAAGACACACTATCTTCAGGTTAGTTGGACAAAAACAAATAAATACTATGAACATGTAAAATCTACAATATCGTTATGGTGTATTTATAACAGATTTCACAAGCCAACCACATATCAAAGTTGAACGAAAAGAAAGAAAAATCTACGATCTTAATCACCAGGAAGTACAGATTGTTCTTCTCTTTGCTCTTCAATCTTTTCAAAATTCTCTCTTTCTCCGCCACTATCATTCTTTATCTCTCTCTTTATCCTCCCTCTCTCTCTCTTTATCCTCTCTCTCTCTCGCTCTCTTTCTCTTTCTCTCACTATCTCTCTCTGTCAGTGCGTGTAAAAAGTCAAGAAGACCAAATATATAAAAAGTTCCGCCGCCTACATTTCCTTCTGATAATCACAGCTGCATTCTTAATCACATCTGGTAATTATAACAACGATAGCTTTTCCTTCTTTCTTCCCTTTTTTTATCTATCTTCTTATTTCCCGACAACTCTACTTTCTTTGACTTTGGCATCAATTTTAGGTTGGATAATCCTTTATTCAATGATAATGTACACCCGATTCCAATCACGAATCACTGCTATAGTTGCGGTGATTACTCTTTAAACAACTGAACATTACTAGATATTTGAAACTGTAGCACATGAAAGTAATAATTAATATATTGATAATCATTTCGTTAGCTGCGATGTGAGTTGAATTCTCGAAAGACTCTCTGCACGTGTGTCTAAACTAAACTTCAATGTAATTAAATGCTATTTGGTGCTTTGTTATAGTGCAATGCTTAACTTAAGTTCACTTATCCGATCATTACTACTGTAGAGAATTCAAACTTTACTGAGCGCCCCACACTGATTTATTATTATTTATTAATAAAAATGACAAAATCATATTGTAACGTGAAACTATATTTTTGCGGCTTGCAGTTTTATATTCCGTTGTGAATAATGCTGGTATTGCTGTCTTCTCGGAAATCGAATGGTGTTCTGTAGATCAATTCCAGCAAATCATGAATGTCAACGTTATGGGAATGGTTCGAGTGACGAAAGCTTTTTTGCCGCTGCTCAGAGAATCCAAAGGACGAGTTATCAATGTCGCCAGCCTTGCAGGTGAGTTGAAAAATGCGATTTATCACGAGAGAAATATACTTGCACATTTTCTTTTGGTTTTCTTCTTTTTTTTTAGGTCCCATCTAGACGTAGGCAATCATGGTTCTCCACAAATTCATATTCTTTGTAGCTCTTAGCAATATTTGCTTTCTTAGTATTCTTCTCACTCCCTCTTCAGTCATCCATTTACGCAATCTCATTACAAAGGGTGCACAAGGTTCACCTCTGTGTGCCTTGCCTTTATTATGACCTGCTAGTGACAGATTCTCAAAGTCCTCTTTCCTCTTTATATGTCTCTTTCTGATTTTAAGTACAAGTATCCTTTTGTTCTCAGTCTCCTTAAAACGTCTTCATTGCTCACCTGTTCTTTCCATGGCACTTTCAGCATCCTTCTGTAGAGCCACATCTCTGTTGCCTTAAGTCTTCTTTTCATTTGCGAAGAAATTGTCCAGCATAAAAGTGTTGTAGGAGTGTTGATATTAAATAGCTGTTCAGCACACGTTCCATTTTTAACAAAATTTGAAGCTTTCTTTCTTTCTTTTTTGCTTTTAAAATTTCAGTGTCACATTTTCCGTCGTTTCCCAGATAGAAATGTAAATTTCTGTACTCGCTTGATTTTGATATCTCGACTTTGTAATTCTCATCTTGGGTTCGGATTTTTGTTTCGTTCAAATCCCACTTAAATATATTAACATCAAAGCAAAATTGAAATAAAGAGATTATACCAAAATGGCAAGTGAACAGCGTTCAAATATAAGTCAAATATTTATATAAGTACGACGATCTTATGAATCAGATATTATAATTATTATTGATATTATCATCATTATATTTCGATTCCTGCTATGGTCACGCTACCTACCAAGTCTGCGAGAAAACCTAAGGCAGGTAGTAGTATGTTGTTATGACTACATTTCATGATTTGTTTTTCTAACACCTATCATATCACTAGCGTCAGATGGACAAAGTTCTTCTTAGTGTCTGGGCTGTATTTATCAAGTGAATTATTTGTATTTCTCTTAAGCTGGGATTTCCAGGGAGTGTGTTCTTTTTTTCCAAGCGCACCTACTAAGACTGGTACTATTCTTGTTTTCAATTTCCACATTTTTTTTCTATTTCGATTTCCATGTCTTTATACTTTGATAGTTTTTCAAATTCCTTAGTTGCTATGTCACAATCCATTGGGCAAACCCTATCAATTAGTAGGCAAGTTTTTTCTTTTCGGTTTTCGACAATTATGTCCACACTATTTACTTCGGTCTTCTTGTCTGTAAAGATAGTTTATTCCCATAGAATTGCGATGTCTTCTATTTCTGTAACCAGTGTTAGGTGATCTTCATACTAGTGTTTATTATTTCCAAAGTGTTTGTATATTGTCCAGTGTAAGTATTGACCAACTCTATCGTGACGATTTTTATATTCATTTGGCGCTAGTACAGAACACCCTGAGATTAGATCATCTATGGTTTCTGATATCTCTTACAGAAACTGCATTTTGGATCCACACTATTATTGATTATATTTACCTGAAAGTTTCTTATGAAAAGGCTCTTATCTTGCGCTGCAAGAATAAAACCTTCCGTTTCAGCCTTTTAACCCAGATGCTCGTAACCATCGATGAGTGTTTATCAACATCGGGTTTATTAGCCTCGTTCTGGATATTAGCCATGCAAAGGTTTGTCATGTCAGTGTTGTTTCATCTGTTCAAGAGTTTTATCCTTGGCATTCTTTTTCATATTTTTGCTGCAACAGTTGATTCTTGGGTTCTGTTTTGGTTTTCTATAGAATTTACTAAATGTAAATCTCATCTGTATTTACAATCATCTTTCATGATTGAATATCTTTGTCTTTCTGTTTTCGTGTTGTTTGACTAATTTTTTGTTTCCGTGTATGTTAGTAAGCCAATAGTTGTTTTATTGTATGTCAATTCTAGCTGAATATAACCTCTACCACCTTCTTTGCAGCGTACGGTCTGCATCAACCTTTGGATGATGCATGTTATGCTTAGAAAGAAGTTTTCCATTCGTCTGATATCATTTAGAGTTCAGTTCAAGATGTTGACGTTATATCGAACCACTAGAATGGCAAAGGGCATTATTATTATTATTATTATTAATTCTTTATAGAGTATTATTATTAATCATTACGTAATGTTGTTATATAACAACACTAATTTTAAAGTCTTCCCTATCATCACTAATTTTATTAGTTACTTTTCTTCAAAATGAAGCATAACAGAAATTTATTATTTAAATTGGTTAAAACACACTGAAAACGGATGCTATCAAATATTATTTATGACCAAGCTCTACAGTATCAAATTTCTTAACAAAAATATGTAAGTGTTGCCGGACAACTCTACAAAAAGTTTAATTTAATTTTTAATATTAATGATTATTTTTTCTAACAGATGTTTTAAATATGTGTAAATAGGGATTTTATAAAGTTAGAATTTCCAGTACACAAACGTTTAATTCAATAATGGCACCCGTAGAAAAAAAGCTTTTTCAAATATGACATTCAAAAATGTTAATATAACGTCAATCGTCATTTTCAGTCTCCTTGAGGTCTGTTCTTTTATTGTCCTCAATGCTTTCTCATATTGTTTCACTCTAGTAACCCTTTGCATCTCACGGGCTTTATATCCTTGTTTGAGAAAAATGATAAAAAAAAATGAAACGTAAAAGCAACACAGTTGACCACGGAAACTTTCAACAAGATGTCTTGTTTTGTCAAGAGGTTAGTTAATGAATAACAGAGAAAATTAGTTGTTGGTCTTACTAAAAATACAAAAGTTTGTTTTGTGAATATTTTGAATATGGCAATCGAATGATCCCTGGACAAGCTTACATGGCCGACGACCTGATAGACGACCTATAATCAAGACACAAATAAACCCGCTTAAAGTTTGTTTGGGGGAATAAACAAACAACAACAAGGTACTTTGGTCAGCTGAAACAAAACAAAAAAATAATTTAGAGTTGATGGTGAAATGTACAAGGAAAATGGCTTTAACAGTTAAACATGCTGGAGAAAATGTCGTTGTCAGATGTATGACTTTCAATGACATTGGTGAACTGTATTTCATCAACGGATTCATAAATGTTGAAGGTCACTGCAATATACTGAAAGAAAACGTATTGTATTCACTCAAAAATTTGGAAAATACAGCTGTGTTTAAGCATGTCATTCGACCCAAAACATTTCGATAAAACACATCAGTATGTGAAGAAACAAAAAGTAAAACAGCTTAATTGAATTATCGCCGCGGGTCCAATTGAGCATTTATTGAATGTTCTGAAACAATAAAACTGAATAACGACAATCATACAGGGTGGTCTGAAAGTTCTGTCACCCTATACCTAAAAGTTATGAGAACAACAAGACAAGTCATACAGTAATACAAAGCACGTGTACTAGATTCGCTTTATTCACTTTCATTGACGCTGTCACACATCGGGAAAGTCTGTATGAACACCATCATTTTCGTGTCAGCCATCTGAAATAGAAAATTATATTATGTAGGGGTGAAACGACTTTCGGACCACCCTGCATAATGTCGGAGTGAAAAAAATTCCCGTATGCAAATCGAGTGAAATCAATGTTGCCATGGTTACAAGCATAAATCAAGAATAAGGGTGGTCATACCAAATATCGATTTTAGATACATTTTTTTTCATAGAGTTGAACTTTGAACGAAAAAAATGTTCATATTTTGACGACAAATTTTCGATATCGGTTTTGATTGTGAAAATAATCAACAAGAAATAACAAAACCCTGATGAACTTGGCTTAGAAGAAAATCAAATTCACAAGAAATAGGTAGAAGTGTCTTCATTTATTCCCGATACTGGTGTACTCATTTATGTTCAATATTGGTCATGTGTAATAGGTCAGGATATGAAAATATATACTTCTCTTTGTTTTTTTCTTTACTTGTCAATAATCGATTAGGGAAAAAAATGGATAAAATATTCGTTGAAGAGAAAAATGTCTTGTTTCGAAAAACTTTAGACATTCAATGTTCTTCCAATTGCAAAATTTTCGTAAAATTAAAGATATATGATAACTAAATTCAGTTAATTTATATAGCTTATATGGATATTATAAAATATAAGAGCCAATTTGGAAAACTTCAATACTGAAATGTGTAGCTGATGGATCGGCTTCATCAGGAATACGAATCGCTAATATAGATTTTGTTGAAATAAAAAAAATCTGATGAAAATGATCCATCATTAAAATATATTAAAATAGAAATTCCCAAATCATCTTCTATATTTACATGACGTTAGATTCTTATTACAATTTTTCTCACTTAGCTTGAATATTATTACGTATATAAAAGAAACTTTAAACTTATTTATAATAAAGTAAATAATAAACAAATAACTTAATGACTTATCTTCGAAGTTACTTGTATAGTTTTAGGAAAGTTTAACTGATAAAGATATACGTGGGTATGCTGTAATTTTCTTGACGCATTTCAAACTAAATTCTAATGTTTGGCCATTTAGACAGACTTTGAAAATGAGTCGGGCCAAGAACTTTTCAGCACTCCCTCGTACATTCCAAGTTTCTCATTTACGATGATATTCGAGGCCTGAAAATTATGTCACACAAACCCAAATAAATTTAGGAATGGTATTTAAGCTGTGAGTATTTCAACATGGCCTCTGCTGCTGCTTCTTAGATTGCGTTTAAACACAGAGATTGATAGAAATCGTTACAACTGAAATTGAGTGACTCAATATCGGATAATTATTCGAGAATTAATCTGGTAGAATATAACTATAAGTCCAATTTTCATTGACTGCTCAACACTTATAGTATTACTCAGACTTATCTTACTCGTAAATATCAATAACAATTAGTACGACTTTAAAGAAAATTTCTTAAATATCATTAGGAAATGAAAGACGCCTTTAAATAAGTGTGTCATGTTTCAAACGACTGAAATAGAAATTACTTTCACTCAATAAATAGAACGTCGGAAAATAAGGAATACCGTTCATCAAAGCCTTAATTCGGTTCGGAATTTTATATTAACAAACAGAGAAACTTTATAAAATACATTTCTGAATTTATTTAATGGGAATCAATACGTGTTTATATTTTATCTTCCAGTAATCTTATAAAAATATGTGCTTCTACAGAACGATACTGAAAATTCCATGAACGGAGCGAGTAAGCAACATAGAAGTCTCAAAGAAAATAGCAACAGAAAGAACACATTCTCAGAATCAGGAAGACAGTTGAAATTTCTTGTATATATAATGAGGAAGGAGGGCTTAGAAAAATGTAACCCTCACGGGGCATAATGAGGGCAAGAGAAATAGGGTAAAGCAGCGAGGCACTTGTATGAAGAGATGGCTGAACGGGTTCGGGGGCAAAGGGAGGGGGAAATTGCTAAAAGCCACACGAGATAGAAAGTTGTGGAGAGCTATGATCGCCTATGTACTGAAGGGACGCGGACCGTAGAAGATTTTTGGTGGTAACATTAAATCTTATTGTTGAAAACTAATTTTATATGTTTAACTAGTTTACGTATGCATTCTTTATATTTTGTTAAGTCCTTATTATTATTCCAGTTATTTTTCTTGTATACTGCTCTTCCAGTGTTTAGTTTTTACATCTCCCCGGCTTCGTAAACTACTTCAAACAGACCGCCATTAACGCTACCATCGGACGTCACCAAAGCAAAGGAGTTAAATGTAGTTCAGCAAAAATATAGACATTAAAAACAGAAAACACTTGTCACTGTATATCGAGAAAAATTTACAGTACCTTGTGATTCTAAGACAGTGTATGTGTGAAGAGGACCCAATACTTTTGAGAATATTTGTTCAGGTTGATACACAGATATACGGTTTTAGAATTTCTAGTAAAAGGGATCACAAAACTTAGCAGGACAGAAATAACATTGTATAAAACAATTTAAGTTTGTTATACTGTGGAGTAAAAATAATAAAAAACTGATTAAAAAGTTTCAAATATATTCCGATAAGCTCTTTTTTCTTTTTTTACAATGATACGTATTTTATCTGTGCTTGTCAAATAAACATATTTCAAATAAATCCTTAATGTTATTATATTATTATTAATATAAGTTCTCTTCCCTTATTCAATTTCAGGTCGGTTCACATTACCGGCTTTTGCTGCCTATTCCATGTCCAAAGTGGCTTGTATTGCTTTTTCTGACGGTCTTAGACAGGAAATGAGTAAATTTGGAATCAAAGTTATTACAGTGGAACCGGGGCTTTACAAGTAAGTAAAAATATTTTTGCTTTAATTATTGACATACAGATATCTATATGGTTCATTTAATAATAGATTGCATTTGACATTGAAGAAGAGCCTCACCACAACCCCAAAAATAACAACAATAAAATTTTGAAAAAATGAAAAAAGTATTGTAAGCAAGTTGTTCTGAACGCAGACAGCAAATGATTAAAATATTTAGCAAACTACACTTCGCAAAATATCTTATTAATTATTTCTCTGTAAAAATTTCTATGAAGATCAAACTCAATTACAATAGTAACTTTAATTTTTACAGAGGAGCCGTAATTGTTTGGCAATTTACTTTCAGGGCTGATATCTGTGGTCATTCAAGACTGCAGAGCAAATTGTCGCATTGACTCAATACAAAAAGAGATAGAGATCTGAATGTGTGTTAATGATGAAAATAGGGCCTGCAAAACATTTGACTCCAGCCTCTCATGATAAACCTCTTCACAGATTAAGATAGACATACAAATTGCTCATCTTAAATGGACGAAACTCAAGAATGCATAAACTTTGAAACCTTTACCTTTTTAGTGCAGCTGTCATTTTGAATTTCATAATGGAAAGAGTGAATTTGGAGAAAAGGATTAAAATTTTACAAAGAATGAGTCCATGTGAAATTGTCAAGATGTTTGTCATTCTGACAAAATATGCTGACGTTGGAAGCATTTTCGGTAGGAAAAAACTTGGAGACCTTTGAAATTAGGCAAAAGAAAGCTAGCTAATTCATTAGTATTTAACCCAAAGTTAAAAATGGATGAAAGTAGTATTACTAGTAAAGTGTCAGTTCGTAGAATAAAAAAAGATATTATGGAGGAAATAATTTAAATGGAAGACCCACTGAACATTGAACCACGAAAAAAGACTTGACAAATAATATCTACTCTCTAGATAATGAAAAATGAACAAGAATAATATTTAGTGATGAAAATAAAATTTAAAATATATTCTAATATATATAGGAAATATATTTGAAGACAGATTAGTACAACAAACAATCCAAGACATACAACTAAGACTAAAAGATTCAATGGCAGAAGTCTAATGGTTTGGGGTGGCATCAAAAGAATCGCTGGAATACTGAACAGTGGAAATTACATTACTTTCCTAAGGACCCATATTTTATCAGATATCAGCATTTCAGTGTTACAGCAGTGGCTTATCAAAAGACCTGAGCGTAACATAATTGAACCTGTTTGGAGGGAATTGAAAACCCGAGTGCGTAACAGAAAATTCCCCAAATTACAGATTTAGATTTAATATACAGAGGCATTGTAGGGCATTCTTGATGAAACAAGTTAAAATAAGCTTAAGGCTATTTTCCTCTAGAAGGTGATAACTTAGGTCAGCCCTATTTTCAGCATTACAATACATTTAAATCTTTGTCTTCTCTCGTACTCTCTCAATATTTGTGTGATAAATTATATTCTAATTGAAAATAATTCATAGTAAAACTAAATTAAATTTTAAAACGTTGGCACATTTGTTTCGTTCGCTAATATATATATATATATATATATATATATATATATATATATATGTGTGTGTGTGTGTGCGTGTATGTGTGAGGGAGAGAGAGAAATACTTGAAACGAATACAAATAAATTGAGATTTATGTATGTATATCCACATTTAACATAACAGTTTGTTGAGAAATTAAAACGAAAAATTTATCAAATTTTAAAATTTGCTGCAGTTTGATGGGTAAATTTTTGGCATTTTATATTTGTAATTTTTTCGACTGCAGTAATTAGTAGAATCAATTTGACACCATCTGTGAGAAAATGATCACCATAACACAATTCACTCCTCCAGAAATTTGAAAACAGCATGCTATACTGCTTGGCATTCGCACCTAAAACTCCAATACGAAGATTTCAGAGTGTCTTGGTGTCAATAGTGCAGAAGATTTAAAAAGATGTTTGGAGAGATCACTAGTGATGGCGACGTTATGCCTCCATTCATCTTGCTACAGGGTCTCAGACTGAACACGGAGGCTTACATCAAGAGTCTTGAGGAGGTAGTACTGTCCTGGGTCAAAAGGGTGGCTACTAAAACGGAACTCTGCACCATGCCACGCAAGCAGAAGGACCCAGTCATGGCCGTCAGATAATTTCAGCAACCACATCACCTCTTACCCGAGACTTGCAACCCCCTTGATTATTAGGTGTGGGGCGCAGTTGAGCGAGATACCAACAAAATTCCTTGTAACACCAAAGATGGACTGAAGGCAAAGATTATGGAATTATTCATCAACTTAAACAAAGAGACCGCACAGAAGAGATGCAAGAGATTTCGAAGTCGTCTGGAGGCCCTGGATGAAGCCAATTTACTCTTTAGTATTTCAATATATATTTTTTGCGTAATTTAGACGACAATTTATCCATCGCAACCTGTATTTTTTATGCATTAAAACTAATAATATGATTGCCATGATATGGGGCAAAGTTTACATCGATAGTGTTTTATTTTCTTTTGGAATGCATTAAAAGAGTTGCATTAATGTTAAAATTTTAATCCTTTTTGCAGGACGCCCATAGCTTCAACAGACACGCTTGTAAAGCAGTACCGAAAGTCATGGGAAGAGACACCAGTGGATATTAAGGATGTCTATGGTGAGGACTATTACGATAAATTCGTCACTGTCATCCGAAAGCAGATGAAAAGGGCTCGAGAAAACATCGATGAAGTTGTGGAAACAATGGTCGAAGCGGTTCATTGTGAACATCCTAAAATACGCTATGTTCCATATTGGTTGTCTGGTGTGCGGGCCAATGTACTGATGGTCCTTCCAAATACAGTTCGAGATTGGTTCTTCAGTTCTATTACGAAATAGATACAAAATCAGAAAAAGACCAGGAACAACTTACAAGAACTGTGCAAATTTTCGCGTCAGTACCCTCATTGTTCTTTTGATTATATTCTTCGTAGCTAATTTGTCTCATTAGCTTTCACTGTTTGGCCTGTTGTTGGCCTTCAAAAAAGTTGAAATTCAGATGCTTGGATTTTGTTAACTTGATTCTATTTAGGTTAGTTAACAATATATAAAGATATGAACCAATGGGGATATTAACCTGACAGTTTTTAAAAAAAAAACATCGAATCATTTTCATATTGAGTAATGATGGCCGGCGAGATTACACCATACATTTTAATGATTTTAACGCCAAGACTTTAAAATCACACATTGCATATAATGTTGCAATTCCGGTGATACTTGAAAGATAATTGATGTTTTTATTATTTTTGATGCTCCGCATCTTTAATATAAAGAATTGGTGCAAATAAACCAACAAATCAATTTGTCATTACAATGTGACGGATCCTTGTATTCAGTTCTAAGAAGTTAGTCGTTTTTTTCAATCAAGTTGTCATATTATAAATATGAGTCAGAAATGCTAATTTCTAGATTCCACTTTTGAATACAATTATAAAATAAATCCTTGACGTTTAAATTTATCCCATTTATTATTTAAATTATTTGCTTCAACATTTGAGGCTCATCTTTTCCATAGTTCATTGCTATAGTACTAAGTTTCAATTTTAAAGTGAATATTTACGATGGTACCTTTTCTATACACACCACAATGAATTCCTTAATTATGTTAATAGGGCAATGATCCAATTAATTGCATTTCTTGCTTCTACATTGTTGCTAGATTAATACAATTGTGAAAATGAATCATTCCAGAGAATTCCAAAACAACTAATTGCACCACCAACTAGGAATTTTCAAAAGAACATATCCAATTTTTAAATGGGATTAATTTCAACAATTTTGATCAGTATTAAACAAGATCATCGATATATTTAATAATTTCAGAAATATGATTAGGGTAATTAATTCCAATAATGAATTTGAGAACTGCTCTGATTATACGTGGATCTTAATAAAAAAAATATTATGTATCTTTAAAATAGGAAAAAAAGAATTCTGATCAACTTTGGTGATATATGTCAAAATGTAACTAGCAATACCAATTAGGTTTGTAAGACGTTTTAAATAATCATGTTGTATGGTAAATACTTTTTTTATTTATAATATTCGCCACTGAAACAGCATATTGACAATGTTGAAAGTTGAAGGTTCCAGAAGTGATTTTCATTTGAAGCGATTTCGCATAATTTAATCGTGAAGGAAAATGAAATTTTGAAGAAACGAAAAGGATTGTGTGGATAATCAATTCAGGAAAACAAAAACAGAAAGATTATCATCTCAAACGATAGAATCGTTATGTATTTTTTGCTGTAAATATTTCATTTGTCTTCATTTGTTATGTAAATAAATATCCACAATGTAATAATTCTAATATAAAAATCAAACATGGTATCATGGAAATAAATTCATTTGAAAATAAACCGAGTTTTTACAATACTTTTTTCTGTAATTTTTACATGCGTAATGTTTTCAATATTTCAGTCGTAAAACCTCCTCTATAAATGCATAATCACAAGTTGAAAGGTTATGCTATTTCTGGACTTTTTTGTGCAGAGAGGCCACTCTTCTAGATCGTTTTGCAGATGTTTCCCAAGACTCTATCCTTGGACCTAAGTTGTTCTTAATTTTCATCAATGATGGCTTCAACTCTCAACTCGATATCTAAGATTAAATTGGCAGCTGATGGCAAAAATGACCTAACATCTGGCGTTAACTTTTGGACAAAGAATGTCTTGTTAATTTTAACGCTTCCAAAACTACTTTCTATTAATCATCTGAGAGTCCCTTTCTGCCTTCCATCAACATGATTGGTGTTAAACTTCAGAAAAGTAACTCATCGCGTCTTCTCAGCTTAAGGTTCTCTACTGACACGAAGTGAAAAGATTATATTGAATCCATTACTAGATCTGCTTCTAGGAAAGCTGGTTCACTGTGTTGTGCTAAAACATTTTAATCTCCAGAATCTATCTTGCATATTTAAAATCTAATATTTGTCCATGTTTTGAATATTGTTGCCACATATGGTCTGATACTCCTGCTATATATTTAGAGATTTTTGATAAAAATCCAAAGTAGAATCTGCAATGTTATTGGTTCTGGCCTGACTAGATTGGCAACAAGTTCTCATCATTTTACAGTTAAATTGACTGGTTGTAACCGCACGTTTTTTGCTAACAGTTTCTTTTCTCGTACTTCTTGCTTGTGGAACTCCCTTACGGCTTCTTGCTTACGAACCAAAAATTTAAATCGTTATTTTTTAATGTCAATCGTTATTTACTGTCTTCTTGATTCCTCTTCTTTTATTGTTCACGTCCCTTAATAATTTTTTTTTTTTTTCTTATTCTTTCACACTCAGTAACTTTGTGTCTTAGTGGCTTGCTTGGAGTGAAATGATTTTTAAAAAGTATGCACGTTACTTCGCATTTACCAAATCATGCTAATTTTTATATCACAACTTACCTAACGAATTATAAATCTCTCACTGATTCTACTGGGAAGTAAAACAAAATTACTCATTGAAAATGCCCAAATCTATAGGCGAGCACGGATTGCATTCGTGTATTTTAGCTTTAGAACAACACACGCTTAACAACATGTACGAATTCAAATAATAGAATCCGAATAGGGAAAAGTCATAGTTGTGAATTTGCCTTCTGTTGACGTGCCATTATGAGACGCAGACTTTTTTGGGGTAGAGTGATTATCAATCAAGGCTATAGAGTCCAGCCTATCTTGCTACTCAAACCATAACTGGGGAGGGGAGGAGAAATGAATTCATACCATTTCCAAGGATATTTGCTAATAAGTGAATCCTACTGGGATTTGAACATGGCTGTTAAGCATTAGATCACACACTACATCCACTGAGTGTAGCATGTGCTCTATTAAAAGTGTTATATACCATCCAAGTATAGGATTGGTGTATACGGAATAAATTCCAGTAACCCAAAAATACTATTCTTAAAAGAATGCTCAATACAGAGTAGAGCAAATATAATTTATTCAAAAATTATAACATCATTTGATAAGACACCAGAAATGTTGAAACAAAATGGCTATTTTTGTACTGATTTTATAACATATTTTTTAATTTTCGAATAAATTATATATATATATATATATATATATATATATATATATATATATATATATATATATATATATGTCTGTGTGTCTGCTCGTGTCCATACATATGTTTGTGTAAAAATGTTCGCTTTAGATCCATTACAGGAAGCACAACACATATTTCAATTAACTTTGGACATCTGCTCCTTCCGAAAAGATGAAAATGAACCATATGTTACTTGCATTATTTACATTATTCGGACTATTATCCTCATCTCTATTGCCATATCCACAACGTTTCGGCCGTTGTACGCTCCGGCCTTCTTCAGGTATTTGGAATTTCGAACCGAACTCTTTATTTAGTCCACAGGGGTAGATTGTTCTAGTTACACGTACCATGCCTCATCCAGATGTCTCAGTTATTTCCCTTTAACTCTACTCTTCAAGTTTGGTTCACCATTGTGTCCTGGTATTGAACTCTCAACTTTTTGAGTCTAGTTACTGGATCTAACCAACATCTTCATTCACTCGTCCTCGAGGAAGAGGCGTGACACGTGGAACTAGGACAATCTGCTCCAGTGTACGAAATAAATGGTTCGGTTCGAAATTCTAAAACGTTGTGAATATGCTAATGAAGATGAGGATAATGGTCTAAATAATGTAAATATTGCAAGTAATCATAATATTTCATCTTGATATAGATGAAATATTTTTATTCTTACTTTAAACAGTGTGTATTACATCTATCTGTATGCGCACATGTAGAAATGTCAATAAAGGAAATACACTAACGTACTCCTCGTCAATTTCTTTATTGAAATTTCTCGAGTGCTTATGCCGATAATTCAAGTACGTCTATTTCAAAAACGAATATCCATCATAATAACGTTTAAAATAATAAATTGTCACACTAAAAATAAATCTATTAATTCTTTAGAAATGTACGTAAATATATATATATATATATATATATATATATATATATATATATATATATATTTGGGTACTAGTGTTCGTTGACACATTAGCTTAGCTATTAAATAAGCAAGCTTGGCCACTAGTACGTCTGGCATGACATCAAGGGACACAGTCTGTCTGGGCATATCTTACGATTGCTAGGAACAATTCCTGAGATTCTGAAATCCTTTGTGATATCTTCAGAAACTGCAGCTCCAAGCTAACAACGCCTAACAATTGAAGTACTTTGAAAACAATGAGTTGTAATTGATTTAACAGGATTATTTTTTATTCATATATCTTTTGAAGGGACCATTCATTTTTTTTTAATCGTTAATAAGATAGTTCACGCAGGCGCCTGTAACTTACGCGAATATTTGGGAGATAAAGAGAGAAAAATAGCACCAATTTTCTTTCGCAATTTCAAGCATTGCAGAGTCAAGTTGCAACCCGTGACTATCGAACAGAATAATTAGTTATTCCTTTGTTTAACACAAATGCTTCCGAAAATGTTTTTGCGTATGTCCATCCAAATGGACTAACCCCGACAATAGAGTTAACTAGGCCATCCTGTATAAAGTGCTGGGTGAAATAAGCACTAGGGAGATCAGCAAGGCGAAAGTAACGGTGATACCGACAGCAACACATAATATTTTTGTTTAGCCACATTCAACAGAAATAACAATTTCTTTGATTCTGTCCATTGCTAAAACATTTTTAGCTTTACACAAGTTTCAACAGAGTTTCAACTATTTCAAATTTATAGCAGTCAATGACTTTACTAAATTTAGTTAAGCAACTGAATAGCATTGGTTACTTGTAGCTCCTATCAAATATGTGGACTCAGGTACACGGATGGATAAATTTGGATGGCA